CTTCTCCTTCTCCTTCTCCTTCTCCTTCTCCTTCTCCTTCTCCTTCTTCTTCTTCTTCTTCTTCTTCTTCTTCTGGGTTAGGGTGATCAAGTCTTCCTGTTATATGACCACTGGGATCTGTGATATATCTGTGATATATATGACCATGTTGTTTTTTTTAGGCTGTTGGAGGAATTCTTTCATTGGCACCTACCCATCTCTTCCTTCAAATAAGGCCAGCATTGTCTTTGCATCTTGGTCAAATCCTTGCTGTGGCTGTATGAGTATTTGAGAGTTTTTCTTGGTCTGCTCTGTACTGTCAATGTCTGTCTCAGAAAGCCTCTGAGGTCTCTATACACCTGCTCCCTTGGTCTTATCTCCTGGTTTGCCATCTTGGTGTTCTATCTTAATCCAATCAGTGTTGTAGTCCACTCTTGGTTCCCTCACTCTTATAGAAAGCTCTCAGCTCTTAGGCTGGGTATGGTTAGTAGTTTGGGGATTACAGTGGATGGGTTTGAGTTTTGGGGAAGCCTGAACAGAGGAAACTCCCTGCTGGCTAACTAGAAAAATCAAGAGAGTTGGGGAAGGAGCCCAGAGTTTTTTCCTGCTGGGGAGGTCCTAGAAATTAGGGAGTCCCATGATGTTATACATTTTTTTCTGTTCACCTCTTTTCCTCTCCCATCCCCTTCATCCCTCTTATATGTTCTCCATGCTTCCAATTTACTCAGAATGACTTGTCTTTTTCTACTTACCATGTAAATTAGATCTATGTATGTCTCTCTTAAGGTCTACATTGTTGTCTAGGTTCTCTGGGATAGTGAATTGCAAGTTGTTTTTCTTTCCTTTATGCCTAAAAGACATTTATTAGTGAGTACATATGATATTTGTCTTCCTGGTCTGGGTTACCTCACTCAATATGATGTTTCTAGATCCATCCATTTGCCTGCAAATTTCAAGATTTTTTTTTTTGCTGTGTAGTACTCCATTGTGTAAACGTACCACATTTCCTTATCCATTCTTTGGTCGAAGGGCATTTAAGTGTTTCCCTGGTTCTGGCTATGACAAAGAATGCTGCTATGAACATAGTTCAGAACATGTCCTTGTGGCACAATTGAGGATCCTTTGGGTATACACCCAAAGGTAGTATTTCTGGGTCTTGAGAAACGTGGTTTCCTAATTTTCTGAGAAATTGCCATTCTAATAACCAAAGCACTGCACCAGTATGCACTCCTACCAGGAATGGTGGAGTGTTCCCTTTTTGCAATATTCTCTCCAGCATAAGTTGTCATCAGTGTTTTTGATCTTTTCCATTGTTACAGGTGCAAGACCAGAGTTGTTTTGATTTGTATTTTTCTGATGGAAAAGGATGTTGAGGCTTTCCTTAAGTATCTTTCAGCCATTTTAGATCCCTCTGTTGTGAGTTCTCTATTTAGGTCTGTACTCCAGTTTTTTGGATTGTTTGTTCTTTTGATGACCAAATTTTCATTTTCTTTGAATATTTTGGAGGTCAGTCCTCTGACAGATGTGGGGTTGATGAAGATCTTTTCCCATTCTGTAGGCTGCTCTTTTGTCTTGTTGACCATGTCCTTTTCTTTACAGAAACTTTTTGATTTCAGGAGGTCCCATTTATTAATTGTTTCTCTCAGTGTCTGTGTTACTGGGTTTATATTTAAGTAACATATCTTTTGACTTAAATTTTGAAGTCAAGACACTTTCAAAATATATAGGTTGGATTGATCTAGCAGCAGTTGTAATTAAATGTTTTTTGAAAGTGCTTTATCCTTAGCAGTTAAACAATTCAAACACAACACAATGATATATAGTATCCAGATTCTCTGTTTATTTTTCATCTTTATAGGGCTTTTTAAAACTCCATTTCTGTTATTGTCATTTTTTAATTTTTGGTTCTTTTGAGGCAAGCTTTCTCTGTGTATCTTCAGCTGTTCTGAATCTCACTCTGTAGGCCAGGCTGGCCTCAAGCTCTCAGAGATCCACCTGCCTCTGCATCCCAGGTACGGGAGGCACCAGCAAACAGAGCGTACCAGAGAACAGATGCTTACCAAGAAGCTGTATTTGACTCTGTTCTTGTCTGTCTAGATCATTTTTTAAAACTTTTTCAGGCTAGGTTCCTCTGGAAACAATATCTGGCACCCTCCCAGGTCTGAAATTCTTGCCAAATGTTTGGGCACTATTTATAAACAGACGTTTCTGTCTTGCCTGATCAAGCAGCCATTCAGTCCCAAGGAACACACAGAGGCTTATAATAATTACAAACTCTCTGGCCTACTTGTCAGATTTATTATTAACTATCTATTATACTTAAACCATAATTCTTATCTATGTTTAGCCATGTGGCTTTTTTCTTTTCTCAGTAATACATTATCATCTTGCTTCCTCTGTGGCTAGAAAGCAACTGATTCTCTGCCTTTCCTCTGCCCTGAATTCTCCTAGTCTCATCTCCCCACCACATATACTTCCGGCCTGACTACTGCCAAATTAGCATTTTATTAGGCCAATATGAGTGACAAAACTTTACACTGTCTAAGAGCATTATACCTCAGAAAGCCTATCTTTCCAACACATTAGTAACCAAGAGAAAATCATGATAACTCATACATTTAGCACACACTTGGAATCTCATCACTCAGGATGAATAAATGAATAATAAATAATAAATAAACTCAGGAGGAATAAATGAAGAACCATGGTCTGTCTGAGCTACATTTGTAAATGTATATATATGAGATAATTTTATAGATCACAAAAACAGCTAGGGGAAAAACTACCAGAAGCTCTTCTAATTCCTCCCCAACAGTTAGCAGCTAGTATTCCAGCATGAAGGGGAGAAAAAAAACAGAGTTCAGTAAAATGGTCATCCATCCATGCTGAAATAGAGTTAGAATTAATGTCAGAAAACAACTGATATGCATGCAGTGGCAAGTTCTGCTTGTCACCCCTACTGTCTGGAAGGGGAGGGGAGCAGTGACACAAGCTCTAGGAAAGCCCCAGCCATATAAAATAAATAAAATCTCAGCCAGGGCACAATGAAGTCATAATGTAAAAACTGTCTAAAGTACAAGTGAGCTGATGAATCTTTTTACAAACCAACACAAGGATATGATCAGTAGTATTTACGATACAGGAGCACCCAACCATCAACCCACACACATTCAGAAATATCCTGAGCCTTGAATATATGGCCACCTCTTCCTTACAATCAAGATTATTTTAGCTAGAACCAAGGCTTCTTGTTCCAGGGGTGAGAGGGGCAGTCTGACAACAGAAAGTAACTCTAAGTCTACAAATCCTCTGAAGAGTTCATGTTTCAAAGGTGTGTTTCTAGAGCTGCTCAGAAGATGGCTCAGAAAGTCAAGCATCCTTGTTAACTGTTAATAGAGCAGCTGTTGGAACTGGAGCTTCAGCTAATGCTGGAACTTCAGTTACTGCACGGGACAGTTGGAACTAGAGTTGTTTCAGGTTAATCAGGCTCTGGAGCTGCAGATGGGTCTTGAAAATCAGGTAGGTCCCTCTGGAAACAATATCTGGCACCCTCCCAGGTCTGATCACCATAGAGAAAAGTTTCCAGGCTGTGGTTCACTTTGGGAATAGAGCCCAGAGAGAATGTGCTGGAGACATGGACTCTACACTGACAGAGAAAGGGACACTTGAGCAACCACAGGAACAGATTGACCCAACAACTGTTTTCGAGCTTCCACTTATCTCTGGCAATCATTACAGAACATTCTGGAAATTTTTTTTGTTTGTAATTATGCCTTAGTTCCTGAACTAGGTCTGCAAAACAAGAAAAGACAGTGAAAGACCTGAATTCCCCAGACTTGAACATAAGGTGAAGATACTGAATGAAGAAAGCATAGTTACATCAATACCTACCTACCTACACACACACACACACACACACACACACACACACACACACACACGTCTGGAGCTCTTGATGCCAAGAAGGAGGTAGGAAGGAAAGTTGAGTAGGACTTGACACCAAAAGACTAGGGAAGCTTCAGCTAGAAAATCTGGGGGTTTTTACTTGTATCTCTGATGTCTATGTCCTTAATACTGTGTTGAGACATTAATGTGGATCCGTTTTGTTACCCCATTGGAGAAAAAACTACTACATCCTCAGATGCACCTTTTTTCACCCTCCCCAACTGTCCCAAGCTGCCTCAAACACAGTAGATATGTCCAGGGTGAAGCATCATAAATGTTAAGATTAATTATTGAGGATATTTATTCCAGCAGCAGGAGAGAGGGACTACAGACAGACCAGGGTCTGGTACTCCATCACTCAAACTATCATACATTTTCCACATGTTTCTCCAGACTAGAGTACATGCAAGAATCATAATATCTTTGCAGCAGGAGCTTTTGTTCTTAGTTGTACACACTATGCTACTTTTACTGTTTCCTGGGACCTTTGAAAAAACTTTCCAAGTGCTCAACTCAGAATACATTCACATACAAACAGAACTAAATGGACTCAGTATGTTATAAGAACATGTGGTTATAGCTTCTATCAATGAATATTAAAGAACACATAAATAAGGGAAATAAAGGAATGGTTGTATGGTGAGAGGGTGAGAGTTGGAGTCATATATGCAGCTAAGGAAATATGAGTTTCTGAATAGACAACCACTATTTAAAAAAGAAATCACATGTTGCACCATTTTGTATGAGCTCTGTAATTTTTTCCACACATTTGAAACCACTATGAAAGCTAAATTGAATTAGAAAGCATAATAAGTAAGTCCCATTTCTATGACCTAGCATGTATTATTGAGTTTCTAGTTTGGAGTCATGAACTCAGGCTCAGAAATGCCAGAGAGTGATCTCTGTGTGAGTTCACCATTGCTTAATACAACAACCTTTGACTTATTGTTACAATATCTCTTTCTTCATCTCAGTAGTTAGTTTTGAAGTGAGCTACGGGCTGTTAATGATTTCTTTTCACTGTACTATAAATATTAGATCTCAAGATTAGCTAGAAGCTGTACAGGTGGCTAAAGGTGGAATCCTAACAGCACCTACCAAGAGCTCTTTGCCATGTCAGACTACCATTGGTTTGAAGGAATAGCTTTCCCTGCATTAGGGTATGAAAAAGAAATACTTGAAGAAATCGGTGATAAATTTGTGGTTAGAGATGAAGACACAGTCATATTGACTTATCCCAAATCAGGTAAGGACTGTTAGTGAGAATGATATTGAACTTTATGAGGAATGTTGGGACTTTGATCCTCATTAATATAGGCAATGAGTGGAATGTTCTATATATCGGATGTTTAAAATGCTTTGTGGATAAGAAGAGCTGTGTGTCAAACATTTACACTCAGAGAAAGACTTCTAGCCTGCCTTGTGTGGTTGAAGTATCAGTTAAGACAAGAGAGCAATGTTGCCTTACCCTCTCTTAGGATTAGTTGGAGGTGGGGTGGGAGGGTGTGTGGAGGAAATGGTAGGAGGGGAGGGAATGGGAATTTGGGTTGATTTTTTTTTAAAAAAATCTTATTTTTTTTAAAATAGAAAGAAGGAAAGAGAACAATGTCAATGGATCCTAAGGCAGACTCTGGCATTGTTGTGTCTCTGTGTGGAAGAGTGAGTGAAAGAGGGAGAATGATGAGAATAAGGAAAAGAAATAACATCAAGAGGAAAAAGGCATGGATACAAGAGTATGTGGTTTAGAGTAAAATGTCATGTAGAGAATTACCATGGTTCTTGTTCAGGTTGTAGAAAGTGTCTCAAACTCAAGGAGTCAAAAATGACTTTTGGAGAAGGGATGTTTGCTGAGTGGAAGAAGCACTGACCATTAGGAGAGTAATAGGTTGTTGACAAGGAATGTGAAATAACTTGGAAAGTGAAGGACAGTGGAATTCAGGATAAAGATTCAGACAATAGCCCAGGGAAGAAAGATAGATAACTATCCACTGACAAATGAGCATGCACACATGGATAGAGTGTGTGTGTGTTAAATAGACAAGAGGGCATTTATTTACCTTTAGGGCAAGCAGTACTCATACACACTGCAGGATGGATGCATCTCAAGGGCATTGTATTTAAAGAAGGGAGCTTGTCTAGATTTTTCTAGCTAGCTAGAACAGATTTTATAACTTCATCCTTGTGAAATATATGGGATGTTCAAATTCACTGCCCCAGAATGTAGACTGATGATGGCCCAGGACTGCTGGGGATGTTCAGGAGGCAGGTGAAGTATACTGAGTATAATCTCAGTTTTTCCAAGAAAAGCATTGGGGATGTGCTAGATCAATATACTCTGTGCCAACACCATGTAGACATTGTGAACACCACAGGTCTGTGTACTTGGAAACAGCTGCACTGTAAATAGTGTGATTGTATATTCTACTTGAGGCTTTTTAACAAATAATGTTGAAATTACTGGCCATCAATTTTTCTTCTTGTTCAGGAACTAACTGGCTGATTGAGATTGTCTGCTTGATTCAGACCAAGGGGAATCCCAAGTGGATTCAATCTGTACCCGTCTGGGAACGCTCACCCTGGGTAGAAACTCCAATAGGATATCAAATGTTAGTCAATCAGGAAGGACCACGCCTCATCAGCTCTCATCTTCCCTTCCATCTTTTCCCCAAGTCTTTCTTCAGTTCCAAGGCCAAGGTCAGTATCCAGTGATTGAGAAATCCTTGATCAAATGCTCATTGAACTTATTCTACCCTGACAGACCCTGGGGCTCTTGTTTAAATGGACTCTGATTTTGTAGGTTGAGGTAGGAAAGCTGGGATTCTTATGCACTAGGTGATATTCATGTGTTGCCTCATCAGACTAAATCAAAGTACCATGATATCAATCACCACACAGTGATCCTGGCAGGTATATGACAGAAAGTGGAACAACACATTAGAGCATCAGGGAACTACATAAACAGGTCAAATAGAGTTAAAATTCTAATCTAGAGGAGATATTACTGTTTTGCTGTCACCAAATAATTAATTAGCTAATCTTGATTATGTAAATACCCCATGCACAGTGGGTGAATCACTCAGCACAGACTACATCATAGGTGAAACATCATGAACAGGAACCAATATTCTATACATGTAGATGGTTCAACAGTTATGGCTCATCTGTATCCACTGTGTCTTGCTGGATCTAGCTGTCCATTGAGATCAGTAACCATGCACCTGATAGAGGAACTACAGAAAGGATGAGAAATATTCATAGCTTCTTGTTAGTAAGAACATTTACTGGAAGTTCCTCCACCACATTACTTAATATCGTGTAATTCTTAAACTGCAAAGACACTCTTAGAAGAACTATCTCTCTTAAAAATATCACAATTGAGTTATGACCATTCAAAAATGTGTGTTTGTGTCTCATCTGAATTTGGCAAACTCTTGACTGGAGAAATTGAGGCATAAAGAGATAAATTCTAGAATAATGTCACAAAGGCATTGGTTTAAAATATAAGTATCCTTTTATTAAATTTATTTTCTTTTAATTTAATTCTTTTATTTTTGAGATTACAATTTAATTATATACATCACTCCCCCATCCCATTCTTCCACACTCATTTATATAGTCCTTCTTTTTCAAATTTATGGTCTCTTTTTCATTGATTGTTATTATATATGTATATTTATACATATCTACATTTTTATAAATACTTAAGAACAATCAGCTCTGTCTGTACAATGTTCCTTGTCTGTATGTTTCCTGGGAAGAACATTCAGCATTATGAAACCAATAGTTATGCTTTTCCCAAAGGAAATTTTATTCTGCTCTCTTCGTTTCTTAGTTTCCTGTAGGTCTTGTTTCACCATTGTGTAATGGCACATTGGCTTTAAGCTCTGCACCATGATTGTTTTGAGGGTTATATTGGGTAGTTATTGTTACAAAACCCAAAAGTTTGTCATATCACATTTTGATTAAGCACAGTACTCAATATTCTGTTTAGATAAGATGCTCTTTCACATCGGATGAATAATCTTTCACACTGTAAGATTTTTTTTTTACAACTAGAGAATCAGTGTTGGATTTTTATTATTTTTTTATTTTTTACAGTATTAGTGGCCTCGGTCAGTTTGCTGTTACCTATTTATAAATCAAATTAAAGTATGAAAGAGGATCTTGATTATATTGTAGTTAAGTATGGGTTTTCCAAATAAAATTAGTAAATGTTTTTAGAAACTTCACGATATTTGATTGACATCTCATATACATTGTACCAGGTAAAAGTGAAGAATGACTATATTGACCCTCATATACATGTTTTTCCATTTCAGATGATCTATGTCATCCGAAATCCCAGAGATGTTCTTGTGTCTGGTTATTTTTTCTTTCATAAGACAAACCTTATTAAGAATCCAGAGTCTCTGATGAATTATTTTGAGTGGTTCCTCAAAGGAAATGGTGAGTGTCCTATTAAATATAGGAGTTGCTAGAGGCTCAAAGACATTCATTTCATTTTATTACTTTAAAAATTTACCAATCCAAATTTTCACTTCCTCCCCTCTTCCCTCTTCCCTTCCAGAATGAGTTTATACCATATTCATATATTTGGCTCTGGGTTATCTCACTCAGGATAGTGTTTTCTAATTCCATCCATTTGCATACAAAATTCAAGATGTCATTGTTTTTTTACCGCTGAGTAGTACTCTAATGTATAGACTGCCACACTTTCTTTATCAGTTCTTCCATTGAGGGTCATCTAGATTGTTTCCTGGTTCTGGCTATTACATATAGTGCTGCTATGAACATAGTTGAACAAATGATTTTGTAGTATGATTGAGCAGCTTTTGAGAGTACATTCCCAAGAGTAGTATTGCTGCATCCTGAGGTACGCTGACTCCCAATATTCTGAGAAAACACCACACTGATTTCCAAAGTGGTTGTACAAGTTCGCAAAGAATGAGTGTCACCCTTACTCCACATCTTCTCCAGCATATGCTATCATTGTTGTTTTTTTATTTTAGCTCTTCTGACAGGTGTAAGATGGAATCTAGGAGTTGTTTTGATATTCATTTCCCTGATAGCTAAGAAAGTTGAATATGTCTTTAAGTATTATTCGACCATTTGAAATTCTTCTGTTGAGAATTTTGTTTAGTTCAGTACCCCATTTTTAATTGGGTTATTTAAAATTTTAATATCCAATTTCTTGAGTTCTTTATATATTTTGGAGCTCAGTCCTTTGTCTGATATGGGGTTGGTGAAGATCTTCTCCCATTCATTAGGTTGCCTTTTTGTCTTATTGACTGTGTCCTTTGCTGTACAGAAGCTTCTCAGTTTTAGGAGGGCCCATTTCTTCATTTTTGCTCTTATTGTCTGTGCTACTGGGGTTATACTTAGGAAGTGGTTTCCTGTGCCCATGCATTGAAAGCTCCTTCCCATTTTCTCCTCTATCAGATTCAGTGTGTTCAGATTTTTATTGAGGTCTTTAATCTATTTGAACTTGAGTTTTGTGCATGGTGATAGGTATGGATCTATTTTCATTCTTCTACAGGTTTACAGTTATACCAGCACCATTTGTTGAATATGCTTTCTTTTTTACACTATATCATTTTAACTTCTTTGTCAAAAATTGGGTGTTCAGTGGTGTGTGGATTAATATCCAGGTCTTCAATTCTATCCCATTGCTCAACGTCTCTGTTTTTATGCCAATACCAAGCTGTTTTGATTACTGTAGCTCTGTAATAGTGCTTGATGTCAGGGATGTTAATGCCTCTGGAAGTTCCTTTATTATATATGAATGTTTTGGTTATCCTGGGCTTTTTGCTTTTCCATATGAAGTTGATTATTGTTCTTTCAAGGTCTGTGAAGAATTTTGTTGGGATTTTGATGGGGATTGTATTGAATCTATAGATTGCATTTGGTAGGATTGCCATTTTTAATATGTTTATCCTTCCTATGCAAGAGCGTGGGAGATCTTTCCATTTTCTGCTATCTTCCCTAATGTCTTTCTTCAAAGACTTAAAGTTCTTGTGAAATAGGTCTTTCACTTCCTTTGTTAGTGTTAACCCAGGATACTTTATGCTACATGTGGTTATTGTGAAAAGTGATGCTTCTCTGATTTCCCTCTCCGCATCTTTAGCCTTTGTGTATAGGAGGGCTACTGATGTTTTTGGGTTGACCTTGTACCCTGCCACAGCACTGAAGGTATTTATCAGCTGTAGGAGTTCTCTGGCAGAGTTTTTGGGTCACTATCATATCACCTGCAAATTACGAATGTTTGACTTCCTCCTTTCCAGTTTGAATCCTCTTGATCCCCTTTTGTTGTCTTATTGCTCTTGCTAGAACTTCAAGAATTATGTTGAAGAGATATGGAGAGAGTGGACAGCCTTGTCTTGGTCCTGATTTTAATGGAATTGCTTTGAGATTCTCTCCATTTAATTTGATGTTTGTTGTTGGCTTGCTGTATATTACTTTTTTTATATTTAGATATGATCCTTGTATCCCTAATCTCTCCAATACCTTTATCATGAAGAGGTGTTGAATTTTGTCAAATGCTTTTCAGAATCTAATGAAATGATCATATATTTTTTTCTTTTAGTTTATTTATATGATGGATTATATTGCTAGATTCTCATATGTTGTACCAGCACTGCATCTCTGGGATGAAGTCTACTTGATCATAATGGATATTTTCTTATGTGTACTTGGATTTGGTTTGCCAGTATTTTTATTTTTTTTTCTTTTCAGCTTGACCATGTAATTTTTTAATTAATTAATTAATTTGTTTATAAAAATTTCCACTTTCTCCCCTCCTCCCCATAGCCTCCCATTACCCCCACTCCCTCTCCTCCTCCCTCTCCAGTCCTAAGAGCAGTCAGGGCTTCTTGTCCTGTGGGAAGTTCAAGTTCCTCCCCTATCCCTCCAGGTCTAGGAAGGTGAGCATCCAAACAGACTAGGATCCCAGAAAGCCAGTACATGCAGATAAAACAAGACCCAGTGCCATTGTCAATGGCTTCTCAGTCAGCCCCCATGTCATCCACATTCAGAGAATCCGGTTTGATCACATGCTCGCTCAGTCCCAGTCCAGCTGGCCTTGGTGAGCTCTCATTAGATCAGTCCCCTTGTATCAGAGGGTGAACGCCTCCCACACGGTCCTGATTTCCTTTTTCATGTTCTCTCTCCTTCTGCTCCTCATTTGGACCTTGGGGGCTCAGTCCAGTGCTCCAGTGTGGGTCTCCGTCTCTATCTCCATCTATCGTCAGATGAGGGTTCCCTCTCATCCTGCCTTTCTTGCTCAAGTTCTCTCTCCATCTGCTTCTCATTTGGACCTAGGGAGTTAAGTCCAGTGTTCCAATGTGTGTCTCTGATTCTATCTCCATTTATCGCCAGATGAAGGTTCTATGGTGATATACAAAATATTCATCAGTGTGGTTATGGGCCAAGGCCAGTTCAGGCACGCTCTGAACTTATGCATGTTCATGAGTGAGATTGGTCTGCAATTCTGTTTCTTGGTTGAGTCTTTGTGTAGTTTTTGTATCAGGGTAACTGTAGCTTCATAAAACGAGTTTGGGAATTACCCTTCTCTTTCTATTATATGGAACACATTGAGGAGTACAGGTATTAGCTCTTCTTTAAGCCTAGGATTCAAAGACATTTTTAAAGACAGGATGAGATATAGTTTTGGCTGGTCTTGAACTCTCTATATAGTCTGGGGTGACTTTGAAGCTCGGCTCCTCTGCTTCCACCTCTTGAGTTCTAGGACAACAAGTACCTACTACCATGTTCTGTTTATTAAATACTGGGACTCAAAACCACAATGTCATGCATGTTACCTAACTTGGATACCTACCCAGCCTTTAGTATATTATGTAATCTTCAGTTGCCTCCATCTTATCCCTCAAAACACAAACAATCTGTGGCTTCCAGACTAATAACCATCTTAAACCTGGTGGTGTAGACTTTCTTTTCTCACACACCATTGCATAAGAGGGTACAGACACAGTTTGTCCCATGAAACACCATTCTGGCATCATATGGAGAGTCTGGACTTTCCAGTACTGAGGTAGATAATATCTTGTGTGGTGAATGAAATAGAAATGACCCACGTATACAATGGCATTTGAACACTTGTTTTCCAGTTGACGGCAGTTTCAACTTTATGAGGCACAACCTTCTCAGAAGTAATACATCATTGAGTGTGGGATTTTTTTAAAATTTATTTATTTGTTTGTTTATAAAAATTTCCACTTCCTCCCCTCCTCCCCATAGCCTCCCATTACCCCCACTCTCCCCCCACCACTCCCTCTCCTCCTCCCTCTCTAGTCCTAAGAGCAGTCAGGGTTTCCTGCCCTGTGGGAAGTTCAAGTTCCTCTCCTCTCCCTCCAGGTCTAGGAAGGTGAGCATCTAACCAGACTAGGATCCCAAAAGGCCAGTACGTGCAGACGAAACAAGACCCAGTGCCATTGTCAATGGCTTCTCAGTCAGCCCCCATGTCAGCCACATTCAGAGACTCCGGTTTGATCACATGCTCGTTCAGTCCCAGTCCAGCTGACTTTGGTGAGCTCTCATTAGATCAGTCCCCTTATATCAGAGGGTGAACGCACTCCTTGCGGTTCTGATTTCCTTTTTCATGTTCTCCATTCTTCTGTTCCTCATTTGGACCTTGGGGGCTCAGTCTAGTGCTCCAATGTGGGTCTCCGTCTCTATCTCCATCTATCGTCAGATGAAGGTTCCCTCTGGTCCTGCCTTTCTTGCTCACGTTCTCCTTCCTTCTGCTTCTCATTTGGACCCAGGGAGTTAAGTCCAGTGTTCCAATATGTGTCTCTGATTCTATCTCCATTTATCGCCAGATGAAGGTTCTATGGTGATATGCAAAATATTCATCATTTTGATGAATGATTATGGGCCAAGGCCAGTAACACATTATTGAGTGTGGGATTTGAGAGGAAATAAATTCTTTTTCAATTTGCTCATTTACTTTTTATCATGACCTCAGTTTCCCCTCTCTCTTCTCATTCCATTCCCTCTTCCTATCTATCTCCCTACTCTATCTCCCAATCCACTTCTCGTCTGTTCAGAAAGTGACAGGCCTCAGCATGAGTGTCAACATAGAATAACATATCATGTTGAGATTGGACTAAACTCCTCACCTTATATTAAGGCTGGACAAGGCAATCCACTATGAGGAATAGGTTCCTAAATGTCAGCCAAAGCAGTAGGGACAGGCCCAACTTCTACAGCTAGGAATCCAAGGAAATCAAGCTACACAGTGTCAAACATAAGAGGCCCTAAGTCAGCTCCATGCAGTCTGTCCAGAGCCCGTGGTCTCCTATAAGCCCATGTAGGTCATTTCTGTGGATTTCCTTGTGATAACCTTGACTCACCTGGCTCATCTAATCCATCTCTCTCTCTACAAATGGATTCCCACAGTTAAGCCCAGTGCTTTACTGTAGGTCTCTGCA